AGGACCCTGTATTTGAATAACCATTGTGCTCATGCTGCTGATGCACTAGGATATGTTTTGTTAGAGCCAGTGTGTCTATTTCAGACAAGATTTTTACAAACTTGCTGTAAATCACGTAGAATTGAAAAGCAGGGGTCCTGCAAGAATTCTGCTAATTAACTCTCTGCAAAGCTTACTCCTCTGTCTCATATATCTTTTGAGTTTTTGGCGTAGCCACAATGCCCCCGTGAAAGCCAAACAGGGCTCACGTTTAAAGATATGGCAATTAGTAGAACTTAAATGATTATGAAAATTAAGTGCAAAAACCTGCAACCCACTTTTATAATGAGGACAGGTATTCTGTCCAGTTCCACAAACAATATACAACTGCATCACTCATCTCAATATAGTCACTTGAACCATTATAAACAAGGTAATAGAAAATGGGAAGCATTGTTCTGTCATAAAAATGCACACACCAAGACACAAAGTATCTCCTAATGCCATTTTTACAATGGCCTACACATCCAATTTGCTCATTTAACAGTAAGTAGTTTTCTCAACCAGTCTGGAAAAGTCAAGCAGCATTTCTTCCATCTTTTGTTTATTCCTGAAGCACTTCACCCTCAGTTACACAGACAAACCCATAGTCTTCAAATGTTGCAACCCCCTTGCTCACACAGTTGTGAGCAGGGTTGCAAAAGAGAACAAGAACAAAATTTGGTTCTGCAAACCAGACATCAGGACATGCTCCTTCCTCACAAGTGAGGCTCACAAAAGAGTTATAAAACTTCCCCATATTCCAATTCAAGTACAAGCCTGGGATGGTAAAGAAATAAGAGGTGAACAGACCACAAATTGCAGTATTAGCTATAACAATTAGGGATATTAAAGACTAGTCGACTATCTGATAAGCAAAAGCTTATCGGATAATTGACACACTAGACGACTAGTCGCTTCCCCCCCTTTGCTGCCTCTATTAGAAAGAGGCAGCAAGCGGGAGGAAGCGAAGAGGAGGGTGACCCCGGACTCCACGTGGAGCTGCCGCTTAGAAACACCATGTGGAGTTTCCCGCAGTGCTGGGTGGAGCCGGGGTCAGTGGGGAGGATTCCAGCTTCACACAGTGCTGCTGCTTTGAAATTCAATGGGGAGCCGGGGGCTACTTTGGGGAGTCCCCAGCTAGCTCCCAGCTTTACGTGGTGCCACTGCTTTGAAACACCTTGGAGACCTAGGGGCCAGCGTGGGACTCAATCAGTCCCCCATTGGCCCAGTGCTCCCCGCATCACTTTTGCCTTTGAAGTGTATTTTGACCACTCTACACAGATGAGTATTCAACGGCCATGCTCCCTTATAGATTAATTGAATAGCTGAGGCAAATTCAGCTATTCAATTAGCCTCTTAATCAAAATTTAACATACATAATAACAACACACAGAATCCCTCAGTAGGATGGAAGAGGTTTCTTTGCTGTACATACTATACCTGAACATAAAGCAAGTTCAGCTGAACAGGATCTCTAGAATCTACATTCTGGTCTGAATAAAAGAATTTCCGCCTCAGCAGCAGTGTTTCATTTTCATCAACTCCTTGTTCTCTGAATGTTCGACTGTGATCTAGCCAGTTTACTGGAACAGAAACAAATAAACACCTTACTCAGCGCTATCCGTCCTAATGGTATCTGTGTGAGAGATGAAGCATTTAGAGTTTTCCTTCAGGTCCCAGCTCCTGGATCAATGCTAACATGAAAATCATTGCTTTCATTTCAAAGAGTTTCTAGCTCCCATTGCTGCAGAGTGAAGCTTGACAACATGACTTCTACAGGTTAAAAAGCCAGAACGCAAGTTTAAAAAAATTATTTGTGGATATTCTGACTTCTGACTTTGAGTAGTGTTTGGGTTTAGCAAGGCTAGGTATGACAAATGTATATTTTTTCTTGCCTTCAGAGACAATATTCACACTTGAAACCACAGTGATGACTGTTACAGAAAAACAAGTTAGCTAGACAAAATGAACAGTGCTAAACTGACAAACTATGGTGAGGTTTTGTACGTTTTCTTGCGAGCAAAACATGTACATTATGGAATAAGTACTCATCACGTGCATGAATCTGCTCCACTTCTCAGCCAATGCTATGAAGGTTGCAACTGATATTACAGTCCAAAATATCAGCCAATGGATAATGGGATTTCCAGTTTGAATATAGTGGGAATGTGTTGTTGTATAATTTTTGAAAATTATTAAATGCATAATTGCAAAGGTAGCTGTAGTTTACACATTGGTTTTACAAGTCATCCCAGCAGTTGAGTAAAACTGAATCAACTATGGACAGCTAAATACATTTTCTCCATGTAGCCTCCTATTCTTTATTACACATTGTTTTAAAACACTGGCCTGTGATAAGAATAACAGGGGCAAAAGCACTTGCCAAAAACGAGGAACTTTATGTAAGGTAAAACAAAGGTAGCATGCCACTTAACAACTGTGTTATTTTGCTGTATTTTGACCACAGTACACAGATGAGTATTCAAACACATGTTAAAAATTCAAGTGTTTTGGTTTCTTGGAATGGACCCTTTATATTTAATGTGCAGACAAAGGCTAAACAGATTTTACTGACTTTCAGCACAAAGGCAATGAATCAGAAGAATGAGAAAGCATCAGTAGTCGAACAAATAATCTTCCTCAGTAGACTGTAGCAAAATCCCTCCACCAGCAAAATGGAAATTAATACTACCGGATCTAGAACTAGTTTTCAACATACATAATAACTGTTCTCCTGTGACTAACAGCTTTTCAACTGGATTTAAAAATACATTGCAGCAACAAAGACATTACAGGCACATACAGTACATGATATTCCAACTTGTTGCCTAACGTTTTCCTGGAGTTGTAAATGAAAGGTAAGTGCAGCAGGTTATCCAGTGAAAGATGTCCCAAAACCAATAACCAACTTCTGGATTCCTCTCTCCCTCTAACCCACTTGACAGTTCTCCGGAAACACCCCTCAAACAGCCTCTTGAGGTACAGTACTCACAATCATCATCTGTATGAAGTTTTGCCTTCAACTTCTCCATTTTTCTTTCATCTCGTAACAACGTCCTGTCTTTCTTAAGTGTACCTGTACCTTCCTCCTTCTTCTCCTCAATGCTCTCCTGGATTAGAGAGTATTCTTCATAATTGGTTATTCCTAGAAGTGCGAACACCAGGTAAGCATGCAATTCCAGCAGTCGAACCATTAAAATGTAACGTATAAGTAGGACAGCAAGAAAGGGTTTATTCTAAATGTTGCTGAAAACATAATATATTTGAAGTTAACATCTAAAAACATTCCAGACCAAGTGTTAAAAAGTATCATTATATGAATGTATCAAGTACTCATAGTCAATCTTTCCAACAAAAACTGGCGCCAAAATATCCCTCTATCAGGCTCAAAAACATATAGTTCAAAAAACCTGTCGGTGTTCGTGGAAGTAATTCAGGATTCATGTTTTACCAGTCTCAAGAAAAAAATGGTTACTTATCTGTAACTGTTGTTCTTCGAGATGTGTTGTTCATGTCCATTCGAATTAGGTTCACGTGCGCCATGTGCACGGACTCTAGAGCCTTTTTTCCCCAACGGTATCCGTCGGGCCAGCAGGGAGACCCCTCGGCTCCTTCTTGCTGGAGACTCCGACGAAGGGAATGTGGGGGAATGGGGGAGGTCGAATGGACATGAGCAACACATCTTGAAGAACAACAGTTACAGGTAAGTAACCATTTTTTCTTCTTTGAGTGCTTACTCATGCGCATTCGAATTAGGTGACTCCCTGTCAGCCGACGGTCAGGGCAGTGTGTGTGTGTGTGTGTGTGTGTGTGTGTGTGTGTGTGTGTGTGTGTGTGTGTGTGTGTGTGTGTGTGT